CACCTAGCACAGTTTTTGATCCAGCATTATTTTTTATTGTCTAGTGCTTTTACTGTTTATTGTACTCTGCTGTTGTACTGCTTTGGCGTATATTTTCTTGCATTATACAATTTTTATACTCTATTTCTTTTCCCAGCGATATCTTTTTTTTCTAAGTTTTTTTCGAAGTAGTGCTACCCCAAGCACATATTCATGGGTGTTCTTTTTAGCATTACTTTATTTTGATTTCAAGGAACAATTTTTTGTATACTCATTCACTTCCCAAATTCGTTTTATCTTCGTCTGATATAATATAATACATTACATCTTTTTTCGGTATTTTCGTACAAAAAATTTAGAAAAATGTGATAGAATTAAATAAAAAATGGACGTGGATGAAAAATAATGAAAGATGAAAAACACAAACAACAAAAATAATGAAAAAAAAATAATGAAATAAGACAAAAGATACATAAAATACATAAAAATGGCTAAAAATTCTGTTTTATGGACAAAATCACCGACTTCTGTTATAATAAACCTGAATCATTGCCCCCGCCAACAGACACGTTTTTAAGTAGGCGGGCTGACCATTAATCAGACACACTTGCTTGCAAACTAATTGCCCGCATAAGACACATATAATAATTCTACCACAAGTTCACCCACACACACACACACACACACACACACACACACACACACATTTATTTATTTTTTTATTTATTTATTTATTTATTTATTTATTTATTTATTTATTTATTTATTTATTTATTTATTTATTTATTTATTTATTTATTTATTTATTTATTTATTTATTTATTTATTTATTTATTTATTTATTTATTTATTTATTTATTTATTTATTTATTTATTTATTTATTTATTTATTTATTTATTTATTTATTTATTTATTTATTTATTTATTTATTTATTTATTTAAATAATGTTCGCCTCCCATAATATTGACAATTAAATAAATAAAGATTGAATCGACATGAAAAATTCACAGTAGAGGTTCATTACAGAAACAAATTCAAATATCAATTTTGGCATATTTTAAAAAGTTTATCGCTAAAGGATCATTACATAGGCAAATGCGAGAATCATGATGTTATTAACTCAATATGAAAAATTTATCGTAGCAAGTCTATTACAAAACAAATTCTATTTTTATAAAATGTTTACCGTAAAAGAACTATCACACACATTCATTTTCATTTTGAAAGTTTACCGTAAAAAGTTTACCGTTCGAAGCATATTCATGCTCCCTCAAGTACGTTAGATCCATAATTCACTCATGCACGCACATTCATGTCCACACATTCATATAGATTCATACACATTCATATAGATTCATACACATTCATATAGATTCATACACATTCATATAGATTCATACACATTCATAACATATTCGTGCTCCATATCAAAGTGGCCGTCTTTCTTGTTATATATATATATATATGTTGGTAATAGACCATAATTTTTACAATCTTCTATAAATTCTACCGAATGTTTGGCGTTAATATGTTTGTAGTTCATTTTTTCAATTAATTGATTTCGGAAAATAAGTTTATTTTGAATTTTAATAAACTAAACATTCACCAAAATACTTTAGTGAGAAAAATTGAAAAAACGAACTACAAACATATTAACGCCAAACATTCGGTAGAATTTATAGAATATTGTAAATATATATATATATATATATAATTTGGTATGAGGTTCTCAGATAAACATGTACGGTTGAAGATTACACCCCATTTTGCAGTTAGAAGTTATTTTAATAAAATTTCAACAACACGAAGCTGTTTTGTTTCAACTGTTTGTTTCACAGTTTAATAAAGTTGAAACAAAACGGCTTCGTGTTGTTAAAATTTTATTTAAAAAATTCAATTAATATACAACAAAAAATGACAACCTCACTTCCAACCCGGCGCTTAACCAACAACGAAAACAAAGAAGTAATAAAAACTAGCATCGTAAATAGTGACAAAGAAGATTATGATGCTATCGATGAAGAAAAGGAGACCAAAGAAGATGACCAGCCAATTAAGAAACCTGACACCTAATTCGCATCAAAGTCCAATTTTACAACACCAAAGTTAATTTTGACAGCGTCAAAGTTAATCTTGACAAAGTCAATATTTCCCTATATATACAGCAAGGAGCACTGACGATGATTCATTCGGAATCGAAATATGGCCTTATTTGCAGCATGAATTCGAAAAATAAGTTTATTTTGAATTTTAATAAACTAAACGTTCACCAAAAAACTTTAGTGAGAAAAATCGAAAAAACGAACTACAAACATATTAACGCCAAACATTCGGTAGAATTATATATATATGTTGGTAATAGACCATAATTTTTACAATATTCTATAAATAAATATATAGAATATTGTAAAATATATATATATATATATACTATACAGCCTACAATCTTACACAGTATTTCATTACGCTGATAATGGTTGATTAATTTTTCATTTTGAATTTTTTGTGGTTTTGAACGTTTATTAGAGAATCTTTTTTTTATTTTTTGGTTTTTATTTCGATGTTGTTGTTGTTTATCTGGGTCGTTTAAATATTTAACGGTAGTAAGTTAAGTTTGCGAAATTGGATAATTGCCTCTCAGAGCTGCTCTGCAAATTAACTCAATTCCGACTTTTCAAGTCGTTTGCTGAAAGGTGGTAGAAAGGTGGTAAAAAGGTGTCAAGAAAGCGCTATAAATAGTGCCAAAAGAAGCTAAATAATGTACAAAAACGTTGTATTTTGATAGTATTGATGTATTTTTATTTCCTGCATTTTCTATCTCCGTTGTTTTGTTTTGGTTAATATAAGAACGAAGACACAGTAATATATCCTATACATGATACATCGGCATTTTATACCTAATATAATCACATATTTCGTAAGCTTTTCCATTGAATTTTATTAAAAATTCGACGTTAATTTGTTAGAATGAGTTTTCTTTTAATCATTTCTTATTTTCATCAAAAGACGAAATAAAATCTACATGTCTAGGTGGTTTGTGGTCAATTTTATCGGCTAAAGACTGATATCTAATCACAAATTCGAAACATTAGCTGGACATCTGAATGTACAGACAGATACAATACTTCATATTTCATTACAAATCCCGCACGCATACAAACCTACTCATGCATGCGGTAACAATTGTTTGTTTTGCGAATTCCTAATGTGGCGATCAATTAAGACGGAATTGCACGTGCCGGCTTTGGCACGCGCCAGTTTGTTCAAATTGCACAATTAAGCATAAAACTGACATCTCCCACATCTGGTTTAATGAAATTGTCTTCTTATATCAGAGTTATTATTGCATTATTTATTTAACAATAAATGCATCGGAGCCATCGAGCCAATATGAGCAGGGTGTTGTTATGAAAAGGGCGTTTGTGGCACTTTTATTCATGGACTATGTTCTTACGGCAGAACGAACAAACGTGTTCGTTCGTAACATATGTTTGCGAATGTTTGCACAACAAATTGGTTTTTATGTTTGCTGTTATACGTAAATAAATATAATTAATGATATACAAATATAATAATAAATAATTATTAATCCAATAAGAACATCGCATTGTACTCTTGCTATTCATTTCTTCGTCGTTGAGAAACGTTAATAAACGTGTAAATTAACAGATAAGCTAAAGACAAGACAATTTGACTGGCTACGGCCTAAAATAAAAACGAAAGTTTTTGACGGGAGAAGCGAGCAGTTAACGAGTTCGCCCATTCATTAATTACTCAATCTGTTCATTAACTATACGTTCAACAACCTAGGATTAACAAACACGATTGAAGAAATGTATAAACTCAACTTCCATGAGATTAAATTTGCCTGTCAATCTCACTCACAGCGTCTTTTTATGTGATTCATGCATTCAACGCTCGTTACGCTATCGTTCCCAGCAGATGCACAAGAAAAACATCGGAGAACTCTTCAAAGCAAAACTTCATCGTAATCTCATAATCTTGACGTTCGTTTGAAAGCAAAAAGAATAATTGTTATTATGTGAAACGACAGTTAATCGATGATAACCATACAATATAGCAACAAAAGAACGCAATCACTCCTGTCGAGTGAGGCTACCTGATAACAACATACAAAACGAACAAATGATCGATCAATTAAGAAATTAGACAAACCTTCCGATGCATGCTCCCTGCCTCGAAACTGATGTCTCCACTTGACACTAATTGATGCAGCAAAGAGAAGACCTCAGCTTTGCACGTAATAGAAACAAATTAGAAATGTTAAGAGAAGATGACGATGACGGATGAATGAAGTTATTTCATGAGACAGTCACACAAGATGGATGACGTGCGTCTGAACGCGAATGGGCGCACTCACTAAGTAGGAATTCATGCGAATGAAGGAAAGTCGTAAAAATTTCTGGCATAAAATGAAATGAATTGCTTTGTAGTCCAAGCGAACTGAGCACCGACCGACCGACCCGCGGATTCTTAAATAAAATTACGCTGTAGGCCAGGGATTAGCCTTGCGTGTGATGGATGCGTCGTCTGTTCGCGCGATTGTTCGAAATTACGTCATCGTAAACGCGAGGAGAGAAACGAACTTCAAGCACCATCCCCTTTCGAATCTTTTTTCAGTCGCCCACTTTTGTTCTCGGTTGTCTAATTAATTTCATTCACAAATGGCACACAAACAAAAGGCAGCTTCTTTGCTAATACACGTACGCATACACGACGAGATACACACCAGGCGAAAAGCGCCCCACCCGATACATAATAAATATACACGGTCTTACCAGTATATAATAAGCATACACGCTCCAACCCATGTTTGACAAGTTGCTTCTTCAGAATACACGAATAACGCACTGCAAACCGTAAATCAAATTCGCGTATAACAGCCAAAAATACAATGTGTATAAACAAGCTATTCCTTCACGAAAGCATACCCAAGACACCACATATATAGGTACCGTCAAAAAAAGTTCAAGCCAACTTTTTTCTTTATTTACTTAAAGGAAATTTTATTACAACTCTAGTAAACTTGAAAGTTAAATGAATACCTGTAAACCTTAATAAAATATAAAACCATTGTATAGATAGTTGTTACTCACGTTTCTAGCGTTAAACGATGACAGCCGAACACAAATAAAATTAGAAATATAAACTTCCTTTAGGCAAACTTTATTAAAATCGCTTATTTATCTATTGATTGATTTATTTATTTAAAAAAAACACACAAAAACTGTATAAATAAACCCTAAGAATACGTGACATTTGTCGCAGTAGTAGGAGAGAAAGAACTAACAAAATTTAGACAAGGCAAGAACAAAAAACACAGAGAAAGGTAAAAACATTAGTAATTATATTATAATATAATAAAAATATTATCATAATTTGATTCCTATCAATCATTAAATTATGATTAGAATTTATCTTGAGGTGCCCTGATGTCATCGATCTTGAGAATCATCCTGACAACTTGGGTCGCCAGCATTATTTGCTGTTTCTTTGACAGTAGAGTCTCTATCACGTACTGAGATTTCATATCTGTGAGGTTGTGTGTACATGTATGTGTGTGTCTGTGTACGAGAGAGAGAGAGAGAGAGAGAGAGAGAGAGAGAGAGAGGGAGGGAAATAGAGAGAGAGGGAAAGAGAGAGAGAGAGAGAGAGAGAGAGAGATAATCAGTTATCTCAATCAATCAATCAATCCTTCCAATCAATCAATTCAACAGCCACCAACTCCTAAAACCAACCATTTGATCCTATTCCCATACAATCAATCCCTAATCTCGGGTTACTCTGTGCAATCTGTTGACTCTTAATTTCGGCCAATGTCTGAATGGGTGCTAGACCAGAGTTCTCGGCAAGAGCCAATGGAATGCTCTCAAGGGCGTCGCCAAAAGCCCTCATTGCATACTGTTCCAATGTCGAGATCTTGAAAAGTGATTAGAAATGGATTAATTAAACAAGTTATTCTAACCGAATTTAATTAATTTAATTCAATATTATTAATAATAACCTTATCTGATTGTTTCTTGACAGCCAATGAGCAAGCGATTTCAGAGGCTCCACCCCCATAGACCACCCTGTTGTCTTTAACGAGATTCCTGACCACACAGAGGGCATCATGAATGCTACGTTTGGCCTCATCTACAATCTGATTGGTTGTTGGTTGAATGGGTGATGACAGATGATTGGTCGGTTGTGGATTAATTCTGGATGGATTATATGATTAACTGATAAAATCAGACTCAATGATTGATAGACCTTTTATTAAATGTTTCATGAAACATACTAAATCAACAATCCTACTAAGCTTCACAAAGAGCAATAAAAATGTAAGAAATATACACAGCAAATAAACTTAAAAATCCATTCAAATAACTAACCAATAACCCAAACCAACCATTTTGTTCCCCCCTCTGATGAAAATAGTGACAGCCCTGCTGTTTTTGCAGTCTTCAATGACCAACATCTTGTCCTTGGAAGTGCCAAAGGTCAATTCCCTAACTATGCCAGCGTGACCCAATTTCTCAGGAGTCAGCTCGGAAAATCGAGGCACAATTCTGCCACCAGTTGCTATGGCGATAAGCTGGAGTGTAAAAAATTTGTGTGCGTGTGAATGTGTTTGCGAATGCATGTGTATGTGTGTGTGGTGTGGGAGTTTGTGATATTTCATTTTCATTATGATTTCACTATTCAGAAGGAATATAGAGTTATAGAGTAAACCAAATACAAAGAAAAGAACCAGCGTAAAATGCGCTAACCAAAGAATAACAATGTGAATGAATGAATGAACAAATGAATGAATAAAAGAATGAAATAAGAAAACAAATTCACCTCAATCTCAGGACCTCCTACCCATCTTACAGCAGGCAGTTGCCTCTGAAGCAACAAATGGTTGGCCTCATCATCAAATCCCCACTGACAGATGACCAGGTTGGCCCCTGTGTCCTTCACCTTCAAGTTACGATGATGAGATGGTCATTATGGTGATGACGAAGATGAAAATAATTATGATAAATTTACTCACTTATATATATATATACAATACAGCTACAGCAATTTAAACTTAATTATAGCCCTACAACATACCTGCTTGATCATTTCGTCGAATTTTGCAGCTTCATATTCTTGCAACTTTTTATAATCTTCTATAGATTGAATCTCTACCTTACTTTTAGTCTTTGGTTTTGGGGGCTCGAATGGACATGTCAAGATGGCTATCTTTGCATCTGTTACATGCTATGTAATGTGAATGAAACAATCGTCATTTAATTATCATAAAATTAGCATAATTTAAAGCAATAAACAACGAACCTTAGGCATTTGTGGATGACTGAAATCCTTGTCAACTATAACCCCTTTAACCAGCATGGTTTCCTCCATCTTGCCTCCAACTTTACCTTCGACTTTTATCAACTCGAAATCGACATCCTTCCTCTCAAAGTCAGCCACCGATAGCACAGCATTCACTGCAATCTCTGCCATTTGTCTGTGACATTTATTAACACTGGAGAGGGAGATTTTATTTTGAAAAGAAAACTTTTAAAATATCATTTATGAAGGGTTATAAAATTTTTTGGATAAAGAGGTCATAATAAAAAGCGTAATCAAAATGTTATGAATCAGTACAGTAACCCAAAACCTTTATAGCATTATAACATTGACCAAGTTAGCAGATAAAGTTAACAAATGATTGACTAATATTTTTTTAGTACTCAACCATTTAGCAAACAAAAAAGATGATAAAAATAAAGTGAACATAGAAAGAAAGTTCATTCAACATTTAGCTAATAATAGTTGATGAATAAAAATCTAGACAAACATTTTAGAACTAAGCGTTGTCATGGCAGTCTGGATCAGAGGTTCCAGATTATTCATATCAACTGGAAAGTACTCTGAGATTCTTTTGAGTTCTTCAATGGCAATGTGGGCTGCCATTTCATAACCATCAGCTATTCTAATTGGATGAATTCCTCTGTCTAGCAACTGTTCTGCCTGCTCTAATAGGCCACCAGCTAGCACTAATTGGTGATTGATACAGTTAAGTTTGCTTATATTCAAATGTTTGTTTTTGAATAAATTAATTATAAACCTAATTATAAAAAACTCTCAATTAATTATATTAATAATGTTTATTATTGTATTAATTAATGTTGAAAAACCCCATATACAACCTACAACTCCAGTTGTACCATCCCCAATCTCATCATCTTGAGATTTTGACAGCTGAACAAGAAGTTTAGCAATTTGATGTTCGATATCCATCTGATCCAGAATCGTTGCCCCATCGTTTGTGATAGTCACATCTCCATCACTTGACACTAACATCTTGTCCAGGCCTTTTGGCCCCAGAGAAGTTTTCAAAATGTCCGCCACAGCTTTTCCGGCCAAAATATGGCTCTGAAAAAAATAACCAATAACTTCTCATCCCACACTGGCATTAGGAAAGTTAGTAAAAACCAGTCAGACATTTAATATCAAAACCCTAATTGAAACAAGCAAATTCCGGTTTATAAACCCAACAAAATAATACGGAACAAAGAAACATTTTATTTTTAGATTTTTGAAATGAAAAAAGGCGAACTTTGTGGGCGTCTAAGCCGGTCAGGCGTTTCTGCTTGTCTTGGTCCTTCAAGATCAAAAATGGCCGACCATATTCATCAAATGCCAACGTTCCAACTGACGCCATTTTAAATTAAAAAAAATTCAAAATAATCTGGATGACTGTGGATTAAACGGAGCGAGCGATAACTGAAAAAATTCTGGAAAGCTGAATGCAACAACGATTAAAAATTTTTCCTTACATAGAAACAAAACTAGCTGGTATGAAATTTAATAGGTAGTTAACATAGCTGCTGGCTCACATAACTAGAATCGATGTTGATTAAATTTGGAATATCTGAATATTACACTATTATTTAATGATTTTTATTTTCGGTAAAATTATTTTTACGAAAATTTTGTGTTACTTTCACCAAGAAAACACTCCTATATACGTACAATGCTCTCCACATAATCCAAAGAAATATCTAGAGAGCATTTTTTCTTTTAAGTTTGTTTTAAAAAATTAACAAGCAAATAAAATAAAATTGTTCAAAATCTTAACAATAAAGAACTATTGAACTATGTCAAAACCAAATAAAATTCTTAGCTATATTACAATTAAGAAGAATTTCATTGGGCAGTTTTGACTTTGACAAGACACAGCCCATTGAAGTTGTCAGGTCCAGACGACCTGCCGGCCAGCAAGACGATCATCAAACTCTTCTCTGGCAGTGCATTGTACAGTTTCTTAATGTGCTTGTCCGTACTCTTCAGTGACCTCTGTTGAAATCATTATTTCATTTATTGAGGTAAACTAACATTAACATAAAAATTAGAAGCAGTAAGAACGTAAAAACGCCGAACACTTAGCAACCAATCAAATTTCTAACCTTCAGACATCTAGCACAATGAACTTTATTTTCAGTGCAATCGAGACTCCGCCCAACGCTGCAAAACCGACCAATCAGAAACGAGCTATCCCCAGACTCTAATTCCTCCCTACATCTCCTCATCATCTTTTTATCCAAAACATCGCCATCTTCATTTTCGTCGTCCCCACCATCATAATCGTCATCACCATCTTTTATGACTTTTATAAATTGTTTGAAATCCGGATCGTTTGTGTTGATGCTGTTGTGTTGCTGTTTTAGGGAAGTTAGAAAGTTAGGTAGGCCCAAGATGGCGGCTTTTTTCCTATCCCTGACGAGAAGTTTGAATAGTGACGTTGTGTGCTTGTTTAGGCGAAAAAACATCGAAATTTGTTGCTGTTGTTGTTTGTCATCAAGATGGCGGTGGTTTTCCGGTTCCTGTGGTTGACTGCATTTGTCCTCATGTGTGACGTCATCAACATTGTTGTTGTTGTTGTTGTTATCTTTAGAGGCTACATTACAAGATATACCGTCACTTATATCTTCATCATTGTCGTTGTCGCGATTGACACCTCTTCTTATTACGACCTCGTCAACTTTATTATCGCTACTGTTATTATTCTTACCAGCAGTAGTAGTAGTAGTTTTTTTATTATTATTGTCGTTATTATTGTTGTTGTTGTTGTTCTTGTTATCATCATCATCACTATCGTCGTCACCATTATCGTCATCATGACTATCGTCATCATCATCATCGCCGTCATCATTTTTCAGTTGACCAAATGACCATCCATTCATCACATTGCCGTAACTCAGACCTAACAGAATGGACGTAAAATCGGTCAGTCAGTCTGTTAACCAATCAATCATTCAAATAATCAGCAACTCATTCATTCATTCATCCATCCATCCATCCATCCATCCATCCATTCATTCATTCATTCATTCATTTCTTCAATCACTCACTCAATCACTCACTTATCAATCTTTCATTCAACCAATCAATCAACCAATCAATCAATCAATCAACCAACCAATCTCTCACTCACTCAATCACTCACTCACTCAACCAGCCAGCCAACCGTTCTTCAGTTTCTTCTTCACCAGCATCATGACAGCTTCAGCATCCTCTCTAGGATTGTGACCTAGGCAACCATTCCTCTGAATACTCCGACTAAAGATACAAAATAATAATACAAATAACAATAATACAAACAACAATACAAATTATACAATAACAATAACAACAACGCCAATAGCAATGATAACGACAATAACTCTCAGGCTCTAACTTGAGGAACACGCTGGCCAATGTCTTAAGATTTGATTTGCAGTGCTTTTGCCCTGAGAGATTGTACAGACATGATGTGTCTATGACAAATGGATGGTACATCTGTGTGTGTGTGCGTGTGTGGGTGTGTGCGTGTGTGTACAAAGTATTAACATCGTCAGTCAATTTATTTGTTTTTATCATTAAAACACACGGTAGATGGCCACTCATTTTTTCATTAATTATTTAATTGATTCATTCAATCAAATATTCATTCATTCATTTCATTTATTCTTTCATTTAATCAAACACTTTCAAATATTCACTCATTCACTTGCACATTTATTCACTCCTTCGTTTATACACTCCTTCATTTACTCTTTCACTCACTCGTCCGACCCATAACGGATGGAGACTATAAACGAAGATTGATTGACTCTTTCACTCACTCACTCACTCACTCACTCACTCACTCACTCACTCACTCACCTTCATAGCATTAAGGTCCATATTGAGTGACTGACCGGCTAGGATGACATCTGGTGGAAAAATTCGTTGCAGATGATGTTGAACATCCTCCAATGTTGTTTTTATGGGAGCCAGTAACTGCTCTGTTATGCCACTATATCTGTGTGTTTGTTTGTGTGTGTGTATGCGTGCGTGTGTGTGTGTATGCGTGCGTGTGTGTGTGTGTGTGAAAACAATTCGCAAAAAAAAGCTGAATGATTAGTTATTTCAGAATATGATAGAAAGCATGTTTAATTATCTGCTAGGGAGCGCGTCCACTTGTATTATATTGTGGTTGTAAGTTTTCTAATCAAAATTTGAAGTATTTTTTCAAATTTTTTGGTTATATTTAAACGCCTTTGACATCTCTACGTAATTTTCATATCACAGACAAACGCACATACACACACGAACAAAAAAACATAGAATTCAAAACACAAACAAACAACAAAAAAAAGAACCTAGTAAGATAATCAGTGACGGGATATTCGGGCCTAACGAGAGATTCATAGATGCACTCCATACCCTCATTCACGACTGATATCCAGGCAAGCTCCGATTGGCTCTTCAATGTTTCAACCTACGTAGATTGATACATAAGTATATAGAAGTGTGCGTGTGTGTGCGTGTGTGCGCGTGCATGTGCGTGCGTGTGACACAATGTATAGATGTGCATGTGTGTGCGTGTATGTGACACAGTATATAGATGTGTGTGTGTGTGTGTGAAACAAGATCGTCATCAGCCTCACCATCTCGCAGTCCACGGCAAATATAGGGCTTTTATCGCTAGGCACAATGTACGTATCTTTTGAAAAAACATACTTTCCTGATTTTACTGGGTTAGAAAAAAAAATAGATTTATTAATTGAGATGAAATAAAATAAATTGATTAATTTAACAACAAATGAACGAACAAACGAGCGAACGAACGACCAACAAACCCCCAACCAACCACAAATCAAACAAACAAATGAATGAACAAACAACCAACCAACCGACAAACAAACAAACGAACGAACGAACAAATGAACAAACAACAAAGCAACCATGATGAGCCAATGGCAGAGTGTATCCTTCCATTTTCATCTCATCAACAGTCAACATCAAATCAAATTTAGTAGCTGGTAGCGGTGACGTCACAGATGACGTCATCGGCGATGCCACTACTGACGTTGATGTCTTGTCGTTTGGCGGCTTGAATGTGTTGTTGAAAAAATTGTTGTAGTAGTAATTACTGGTGTTGTTGTTGTTGTTAATGTTGTTGTTGTTTGTTGCGTCTGCTTTAGCATCATCAGTGTCGCGTTTGTTGATGTTTTTGTTGATATTGTCGTTGTTGTTGTTGCCTACGTTAGTGACGTTGTTGTTGTTGTTGTCGACGCTGCACGATTTTGAGAGGCTTGTCTTGAAGCCTAAGATTCAAAATAGATTAAAAATTGGTATTATGATAATAGCAACAACGGCAGCAGCAGCAGCAACAACAACAACAACAACAAATAATTATAATGGTAACCAGATTGTTGAAACTCATCCAAGGACTTCCTGTTACTGACTGGAATGTTGAACAGTTCGCCAGTGAGAGAGCGAGAATATTGGGAGGGGCTTATGAATTCCAGGCTCTAATTGGCCAATTCAAATTGGGAGAGATAGTGAGGATGATGATGATTTAGGAGAGCGAGAGAGAAAGAGAGAGAGAGAGAGAGAGTAAATTAAATTAATTATTAATAATAATAATAATTATTATTATTATTATAAAAAAAATCAAACCATTTCAAAGTTAGCCTTCAAAAAAGACATGGAACTGTCGGTGTAATAATCTTGGCAAGAAGCACCATCAACAATAATGAGGAGGACTTTTGAAACTTTTTGAGTTCTTAATAGCTTACACCACCTAGTGAATTATAAAAATAATAATAGAAATATTATCAAACACGCACACACACACACGCACACACAAACACCACACACACACGCGTGCACACACTACACACGCACATCAACAAACCTAGGTTTATAGCTAGTAGTATGTCCTTGAGTCGCGTGCAGTATCAAATGTTGTATATCTTGAATGTATAGTATCGGTCGGCCGTCATGTGTGTGAGGTTGGTGCTTGAATGTATGGGGGTCCAGTGTTAAAAATATCTTTGGGAATTCCTGTGTTTGTGTGTATGTGTTGGTTTGTGAGTGTGTTTTGTGAGGCTGATTTGTTAGTTTGTTAGTTACATGCATACAAATAAATACATACACCCAACAAGGAGTGTATGTTTTTATGTATAAAGAGATTTGAAGATATTAGAAAAAAATATCAATGTTGATCAGAGAGAGTTCAATGTAAGGTTTTTATATAGAGTTTGAAAAATACATATTTTATAAAGAAAAACATTGAATAAAACTTAAAAACAGAAAAAAACAAAATAAACTAAAAAATGAACTTATATCAAAATAACCAAAAAGGACAGTACCATGGCAGCTTTCTGTCTCAATCTTATTTCTTCTCTTATTTTTTTCATCTCATCTTCAGACAGATTTAGTTTAGTTTTTTTAAATGGGGGCGAATCACATTCACTATCTTTGGTCACGTCCAGTTTATTATCTTTGTTGATGTCTTCTGTACTTTCTTTGGAGATGTCATCATCACTGGTACTGGTAGAAGTTTTAGTGGCAATTTTGTGGTCTTTTCTGGGATTGTTACTGGAACTTTTTTTTTTATCATTTTTGGATTTTTTCTGAAATTTTGAAACAAAAATGTCAAATGAGAGAATCACAGAAACTGTATACCTATGTATTTGATATCAATTTGATCAATTTTTCAGTGCCATGGAGTAGTGCTAATTACAACTGCTAATTGCTAATCTAATCATGATCTAACTAATTCTAATCCTAATAATGTAATGAATCCATATTAAAAATATGAAAAAGAATAATTAAAAATGACAAGTATATTGATTCAATTTATTTTACCTTTCTAAATTAATTTAAAGTAAATTGAAATCCATTATTAATTTTATCATAAAAGACAATTAAATGATTTAGTGATTTTTAATTAAATTTTAAAAAAATAAAAAATGAGATAAAACACGACTGATATGGAATGGACCTATCCATCTATTTGCCACTAATTTTATTGAATCTTAATAAATTAATTTCTAATCAAGCAATCACTAATAAAAATCAGTAACCAAATGAAAATGATAAATGAAAAATCCCAAAAGCCAACTCTAAACTTACTAAACGTAAACGCAACTTTTTTGAGGTCTCCCGATCATCTTTGATTAATTCTAAAAATGATTCAAGTTTCCGTTTTTTAGAAAATAATCGAAGTTCTTTTTTTGTCGTTTTTTGCGAGTCAGACATTTTAACCATTAAAATAGGAGATATAATTTAACAAAATTTTTTAAAAGCCTCGTGCAAGATATTATCGCTATAGTAAATATTGACTGACATCGAAAGTTAAACAAAGTAAACAAATTTAAATTTAAGTTACAGCGTTAAAAATTTTTTATCTGTAAAATACTTGTTATACTAATAAAATTTAAATTAAATTACATAAATTTTATTTTTTTTATTTATTTTTTTAATATTTCAAACACAAAATCGCAAACTCTTTGATTAAAAAATTTTTCAATTAAAACTTTAACAATGGCTTTCCATATCTGCTTTTGTTTTCGTGAACGCCTTTTCTCACGTTTAGATCTAATTTTTTATTTAGAAAAATTAAATAAATAAACCGACCAGTTAGTTAGTATAAAATAAATAATTTTTGAGCAAAATAATTCAATTAGTAACATATATTAATAAATATAAGTGTCAGTGAAATTTTTTAAAAATGGCGGTCGCCGTCGGGGTTGACCAGCATGAGAAATTAATTGAAATGTAGGTTTTTGTTTTACGTTTTTCGTTCGGTTTTACTTTTACGTTTTACTAAGTTGAAAAGTAAATTTATTTTATTTATTTATTTATTTATTCATATTTTAAATTATTTTATTCAATTATTAAAATTTATTTTGAATAAATAAAATGTTTTGTTTTCTATTCAACTCTAAAGTCTAATTCTAATTTAATTTTAATTTAATTGTATGCTTATTTTTATTAGTATTACTTACTAAAAAAGCTAAACACTGAAAATATTTTTAAATTAAAATTTTATATAGTCGAAGAAAGGAACGAGAAAAAATAGGACTAGGGCGCTACAATGTATCTTGGGAAAGGAGCCCTGAACGGCCTGACCTTGAGTAAGTTCAAAGGTCAACTATAATAATGTTTATTTTTATTATAACAATAATTATTATTTTAATTAAAACCTCAGTTAGAAGTAATTTTTAATTAATAGTTTATAACATTTATTTATTAACTTTAATTAATGATTTATCATTTTTTAAAGCACCGATTCAGAAACACCCATGGAAAAAAATAACAGAATAATTATGATTTATCATTTTTTAAAGCACCGATTCAGAAACACCCATGGAAAAAAATAACAGAATAATTATGGGTGATAAAAGTCACCACACCTCAAACCAACGCCACCACAAAAAGAACAAAACAGAGAAGAAGAAGAAAAAGCACAAGAAGCATAAGAAACATAAAAAGTATTTGTTTTTTGTATTCTTTTGTATTGTATAATTTGGCATTTCTCTATGGTACATATATTGGTATTTGTTGTATCATTTCTTGCATAATTATGTATGTGTGTCTTTGTATGTACAATTTTATGTTTGCTTATGTGTACGTATGGTTTTGTTTTGTATATATGCAGATTTATTTCTTTCTATTGCCTAGTTTGTGAGGGTTTCCTGGTTATTGTAATTATTATTTATACATTTTTTCATTTATATTATTTAGACATAAGAAGTGTGGAAAAAGCAGTGACTCCGATGATGTTATGATCCAAAATGGCATTAAAAAAGAAATTAATGGTGATGATGATGAAGACGACGATGAGGAGGAGGACGACGATGGAGATGGTGACTTCGTTTGGGTTGAGAAAAAAAGTAAATAAGACAAACATTTTTTTTCCTCCCAAATTTTTATGTTTTTCAGTTCTTAGCTAAATCAAACTTCCATTTTGCTATATGGCTCATAATAATAATAATTAATACAACAACAACCAAACAACAACAACACACGTTTAGACGGCATTTTTCCCGAGATCGGGGGTTGCCGTTTGGCCACCTATGATGAAACCGAAATACCCCTCGACGCCATCCACATCTGTCACTCGCCTCAGTATCACGCAACCCCGCTTTCACCCTGTCCTTCTCCACCTGCTCTCTCCATCCCAATCGCGGACGACCCCTTCCTACCACTCCTTCAACCTCGAACTCCAACGCTCGCCTAATCCCGACCCTTTCATCCCTTCTCAACACATGTCCATACCACCGCAATCTCAATCTCGTGTCCTGGTTATGACAGTGTCCTGGTTATGACATTAAACTGACCCTCACTGCCTTGTGAGTGATGTTGGATCATCAAAGGCTAGGCCCACCGCTTATAACTGTGGTTGCGTAAGGAAGGGCGTCCTGTGTAAAAACTAGCCAAATAATAATACTTATGATGACGGAATTAATAACAATAATAATAATTGAATCACATTACAAAAAAAACCACAGAACCAAAGTTGAACAATGAAACAGAAGTGGTTGGGCCAGAACCTGAAAACGTTATTGAAGCTGGTGGTCTCACTAGGATGGAGTGAGTGTTTTTTCATTCAATCATTCATTTGTTTGTTTGCTCCTTTATTCACTTATTCGCTTTTTCAATCATTCATTCAGTCTGTCATTCATTCATCTGTTCATTCATTTATTCATTCATTTGCTCATTTACAATATAATATCAATAAGATAATATTAGGAAAATTCCATTACCACAATATTCTTGTGTACATATCTTTTTTAATGCACAATATAACTCACACACTGCAACATAAAATCACACGCATACGCGCACACATTATAACACGCACATATAACCACATGCATATATAACCACACAACAACAACACGCAGTTTCGGCAAAGCCCTGTTACCCGGTGAAGGTGCAGCCATGGCAGCCTACATCGCGGAGGGCAAGCGGATACCAAGGAGAGGTGAAATCGGGCTGACTTCCAACGAGATCCAAGAGTTTGAAGATGTGGGCTACGTCATGAGTGGCAGTCGTCATCGGAGGATGGAAGCTGTGCGTCTGAGGAAGGAGAACCAGATCTACAGTGCGGACGAGAAACGGGCCCTGGCGAAATTCAACCACGAGGAGAGGATGAAGAAGGAGGGGCACATTCTGACTCAGTTTAAGCAACTCATTAAGAAAACAACCACAAGAAATATGGATTTCAACAGTACTTGATGATTCAGTTGGCTGGCTGGATGATTGGTTGATTGATTGATTGATTGACTGAATGATTGACTGGCTGGTTGATTGACTGACTGGTTGATTGACTGATTGTTCTGTATGGACGCTCATTTGTGTTAATAATCTGTGAGATATTAGTTGCGCTTTTAATTACTGTTTACTTTAATTTCATTTGAAAAAAATGTCTAATCGCGGGAAGATACCATGGCCCTCAATTCACACGTACTCATTGAATACGCTTACTCGGTTTTTATTTCTTCGGTCGTCAATACTTGAAATTGAAATCTTATATACAATGCCATACCTTATAATCTATCGATGTCTTGTTGCGGTTGCGTTTGACCGCAACAGTCTCTTTTCAAGTACTACCATCTTGAAATTATTTTAGCCTCGAATCTCAGATAAACGCCATTTAACAGCCATCGGTAATTCGTTAGAAATTATGAAATATTTTTGACGAGCTGACACAGCAGCTGGCTTAATGTGCTAGCATGCTTCAGTAAGAATTGTGGAATCCTGATACTAATGAATCACTGTCCTGTTATATTTCAGGCAATAACAGCACACTCCTTCTTTTATTCGAAGAGTAATTTCGAAGATTTTTTTATCATTTATTAAAGTTGAGTTGGACTAATCAAGGTTTGTAAAATTTGATTCTACCTATATACCTACTTTGAATACCATATTACTCAGCAGAGCTTATGTTTAATCACAATTTAAACATGTAATTTAAAAATTTAAGCATATTCGGAATGAAACCTAGTTGTGCAAGTATGGCGCTACAAAACCATGCAGATTTCATTGAAATAATGAGAATATTAAGTGCCATACTACTTATTTGTCTTTGCATGAGTGTCATTTGCATACCTTAGAAAACCCGACTTTCTGTTTCACAACTGCTTGGGCACTGATCATTCGAACTGCAGCAAACAAGCATGAATACAGGTGAGTAATTTTATGATTTTGATCGTATGTGCCTCAATTTTTTAAACATATTTCATGTGATTTTAACATAATAATAATGTTAAGTAGTTTATATTTTGTTATAAATTGTGATTCGTTAAAAATTTTGTTACACGTCATCAATCACACGTCGTCGTCATCTTCATCCTTTCTTTATAACCTTTCAACCTTCTTGCTAGCACTAGAGGCACAGAAATTTCTGAATCGTCGCTTTCCTCTCTTAACGTGTCCTACTGCTAACAATATAAATATCTATTACATTTATTATTATTATAAGTATATGGCTGACGTGAACGTTTGCTAAATGATTTCCGATTTCGATAAATAATAATGACTATTTACGAGATGTTTACACAAAATGCATAATTTTAATACTATCAATTAAGTTGAATTAAATAAAATACGTTCTTCATTAATCAGATAATTTTTTAGGCCCGACAGACAAATTTTGTATCAAGATAAAATAAAAATATCCTAAATTCAAAATTGTAACAAACATGCGTTAAAAACCATTTAGACTACCAAACTTGGCACAAAGGCCTCGAATTCAACAGAGCCATTGAGAATTACGCGCGAACGAATGCTCTTCCTCAAAATGAAATCATAGACGCCGAAGAACTCACTTACGAAATAATAAATGAGATCAAAGGATCGCTCCAGGCGAAATCCCTCTTCGTAACCTCGGAGCACGTTGGGAGTGCTTACGAAGGCTTGTTGGCGAAAGGGAGATTGTATAAGCAGCACGACATGGAGTTTGACGTGATGCTTATTTGGAATCTGCAGACCATTTTAACCGTGAGTGATTGGTGCTTGTTGCATGTTTCCGTTAAGAATTTTAAGTTATCCATCGCTAATATGCGTGCGAATTAATGCATTAAGCATTCGTAAATACACTAGTCGAGCTTATCTTTGCTTTTGAACCAGATCACCACGCCACAGCGCAAATCATGATAACCCTACTTTTCGACTAACACAGATTAATTTTTATAATTTCAAACCAACCAGCCAACTGGGTCTTTTTCAATATTTTTGTCGTTCGTATCTTCATATCTAAAGTAGCATTTTAAAATATTATTTCCAATCAATCAGACAAAGTCGACCAGGTACGATAATTATGTGTTGATAAAGTCCCAGGATTCCATGCCAACTGGAAAGTATTTCAACAATGATGGTTACCTATCCTCTGATCTTGTGGCAAATGAATTCTTCGGAAAGATTCAACAATCGGTGAATAGCATGAACTTTCCTCAACACGTCGGCCTGAAGATAGTGCTCAGAAAACATGGACCTGCAATACAGATAGACGTCAAAAAACCGGTTAATTAAATTTTTTTTCAATTTCAACTCTAAAGATATTAAAAATTTTAACAAAGTTAAGCGCTTTCACATCAAGATATGAGAATTTATTTTAAATCAAACTCAAACGATCCTACTATAGAGACTGCCTAAAGAAATAAACTTCACAGTGGACATTATTCCAGCTTTAAAGCTGGTCAGCGGCGAATACTACGTGCCAAAGCAAATAAAAAAGGATTTTGAAGCGAGTTTGAGGCAGCTAACATGGAGGAGATCGTTCAGTCTCAATGAGAGAAACATTTTCTCACGCACAATTGACGATCGAAAGAAACTTTTAAGAGTTTTAAAGTGTTTTAGAAACAAGGATGCAACATTAGGCTCTCTAACTTCCTACCATCTGAAAAACATTTTCTTAAGAGTTAACAGTAGAGTGGCGAGTAACATAGAATGGTCTTCAGAGTTCCTAGGACAAAGATTGATCGATTTGATATCGGAGTTAGAAAAATGTTTGAGAAGCCGTCATCTACCTTGTTATTTTCAACAAAATGTCAATTTGTTGGAGACGTTGAGTGAAATTACCTTATTAAACTTGGAGAACAGATGCAAAAAACTGACCAATAGCGAAGTCGCTCTGATGCGCTTGTTGGAATCGGGCCAATAGCGCACCAGACCGAATCTTCATCTCGTCATATTCCATTTCCTCTCGCTTACTATCTTAGTACTAGATGCGCTGAAATAACATAACGTGACGTAAAATTTGTCCTTCTTGCTTTATTTTACATAGCAATTCAGTCATTCATAATTAGAACTTTTTTTTATTTCGTTTTCTCTTTAATTCAAAGAAAAAACTCGCTTTTCTCGCTTAACATAACGTGACGTGAAATTTGTCCTTCTTGCTTTATTTTACATAGCAATTCAGTCATTCATAATTAGAACTTTTTTTTATTTCGTCTTCTCTTTAATTCAAAGAAAAAACTCGCTTTTCTCAAATAAATTTTTTGAATCGGAATCGGTTTTGTCGTGTTTATGAACTTTTTCATGAAATTTTGTCACTAGACATTACAATTTATATTAGAAATGAAGACCAACAAAAACCAGAAAAATTATTTAGAATTATCAATAAATTAATTAATAACTAAATTTCATTTCGTAGAAATTGCGATTTAAGTCTATTGAACAATTTTCGTTTATTATCTTTTAAAAACTGCATACTTCCTTCAAGAAAAAATACATGGTGGTTGGTTATCATGGGATAGGTGAAAGAAATGTAAGAGTAAAAAAGTTCATTGAATGGTGTGTCACAAATGATCAAATTACTACCAACACCTGGTTCGACAATCGCCCAAGGAGAAAATATACTTGGAAGAGTCCCGGAGACAATGTAAGAAATTGGATTGATTACATTAAAATAATGAAAGGCAATGTCTGGAGCTGATTGTGGCAGTGGTCAAACCCAGTTGTTTGTAAAATCAGAATAAAGTTAAAGAAAATCAGTAGTGAAGTGGCCCCAAGACGTTTGAATTTCGTCAGTTTGTCACAAAATGATGAGATCAAGGTCAAGTATGACGTTGAAGTACGGAATCGTTTTCAGTTAATAAATAATTGACAAGTTAGAAATCATTGAAAAGATCAAAAACAGCAATACAAACGCAATGTATAGAAACATCATAGAAATCACTGAAAAAAGGGCTTGTACAGTTTCTGGATGCATAAAAGCTAAATTCGGTGAAGCAATCTTAGAGAAAGAAAAAGTACTTTTAAGATGGACTTGAATACATCAACGATCTTTTTGATAATAACCGTGGTGAGGAGTTCCTATTAAAAAAGACGTATCAATCAATCAATCAATCAATTAGCTTATAAAGCGCTATTTTCGCGATGTTTAACAGCGCTCCTCAATGAATTTTGAAAACAGATGGGTCTTGAGATCCGCTCTGAACTTCGCAAGTGATGGAGAAGTAGTCAGAGAAGTAGGTAGAGAGTTCCAGAGAAAAGGACCAGAAAAAGCAAAAGCAGATTTGGCAAAAGAGTGTTTAACACGAGTTAAGAAAAAGCGAGAAGAAGAAGACGATCGTAAACCGGGGCGTTTAGGTTCAATTAATATATCTGATAAATACTTAGGAAATAATTTAGATTGAGACTTATACATGAACGTGCAAATTTTAAAAATTATTCTATATTTTATAGGTAGCCAATGCAAGAGAACAAGATATGGAGATATATGAGAAAAGAAAGGGGCACGAGCAACTAGACGAGCAGCAGAGT